GATTTATTAAATTTTAGGTTAGTGGGTTTATTAGAGTTTCTTAATTAGGATTTAATTAGGTTAATTGAGTTGGTGTTAATAATCCATTAACCATTTTGTTTACTCTCATTAGTATTAATTCAGAGTTTAATGGGTTTGTTAATTCAGTTTTTTCATTTAATTGACCATTAATCATTTCCATTTAATCCAAATTTTAATCATGTTATTTCATTTCAGTTTGTTGGGTGGTTCTTGTCAATTTTTCGTATTGGGCCTCATTCTCAGATTCAGCATAGCCCATTCGCAGGCCCAGTATTGGTTTTCAGTCCAGCATTTCCAGCAGTTTCTGGAAGCTTCCAGAATGATCCAGATAACTTCAGCAGTATAAAGCTCAGCAAGCCACGTGTAATCCAAGGGAGGACCCCACGTTTCATCTTTATCTCACGCCACCTTACATTCCGCTTCCTCTCCCCATGCCACGCGTGGGACACGCGTCTCACATGCGTGCACCCCTTCCACTCGCATTGCCACGCGTAAGCTCCACTAGTCCTCGCCTGAAGCTCTCCCCGGCCGGCATGCATGGCCGGCGGCAACCATAACGGCAGCCCTAACAACCCTCCGGCCACCGCAAATACCGTCGGAAAAATCAAATCCACCGAGAAACCCTGAATTCCTCAATCTTTCTCCAGATCTCTGGTCAACATTCATCCTCTTCATCTCTCCCGATCAAACCTTCATCTTCCTCCTCTAATCTTCATCGTCTGAAGCCTCAAATTTCCAGAAACCACCGTTTATCACCAATCAGCCACAATCATCATCCACCAACAAGAAGCGATCGTCGCCTTCATCAAGTTGCCAGAAATTCAACAGATCCATCAAAATCTCCAAAGACCTAAACGTTTTCATTCAAGAACGTTCATCTTCAGTTTTCTCCAGAAACGTCCAACTGCCTTCAGATCCTTCAGATCCAATGTTCATCATCAGCGAGCGATCTTCATGGATCTTCACCTTCGCTCATCGAATCTCCAAGAACCTTCAAAAAGTTCTTCGTCATATTTTCTCAAAGAATCATCAAGTGTTCAACAAGTTTTCCAGAATTTCGTTCATCAAACATTCACTGAACATCTTCATCAACACCATCAATATAGATCCATTCGTCCATTTCCAGGGTTTGTCTTCAACGATCTTTGTTCAGATGTCAAGAAACATTCCAGAACCTTCAACGATCTTCTTCAAAGTTCGTCGTTCTTGCAAGAACATCACAGGTTCTTCTTCAACAAACCCAGAATATTCAAGAACCTCGTCACCATCAGAAATTCCAATAATTTTTTCTTTTGATGTTTCTGGAGTTGGTTTGTGAAAGAGATATGGAGAGAGAGGTGGAGACGAAAAGAAGAGAGGAAAGTTGATTCTGAGAGAGAAAGCTGAAACGGAGAGAGAGAGGGATCTGAGCAAGGGGAAACGAGAAAGACATGAGAGAGTGAGAGAAGTGAGGGACGACGCCGTTTGGGGTAGGTGAACAGTAAGAGGAGAGTAAAGGGAATTAGGGTTTCTTTTCTGCTGAAGTGGAAGTGGATTGGCTCGTGGGCCTTGGGCCCAATGCATTTTTCACCTACACCTCCGTTTTGCCCAATTTCCCCCTCCCCGTTTTGTTTTTTCTGATGTTTTTGTTGGGCTGGGCCCAATTCTGTTGGGTTTTCTTTTACTGACTGCACACCCCCTGTATTATATTTGCACCCCCTGTCCTTTATTCTTTTTTTTCTTTTTGTAATAGTTTTTGAGAAATGCTTAGAAAAGAAAATAGAAAAGAAAAGAAATATGGAATAGAAAAAGAAAAGAATATTGAAGAAAAATTGAAAAAATCATAAAAAATATTAGTATAGTTTTTTATTATTTTCTTTAGCGGATATTTTCGTCATAGAGTTTATTTTACGCTTTTTTAGAGGTAATTTTAGAAGTCCACTTGTTATGGGGCTATTTTCCATTCGATTTTTCAGGATAGGATAGGATAGTATTTCCTAGGAGATTCATTTTCAGTATTTGATCATTGTAAATCATTTTTCAGAGATTAATAAAACGAGATTTGAGTTGTGGTCCCGAAGTAGCCGAACTACAGCTGCTCTGATTTCTCGTACCAGACGAGAATATGTAGGCATAGGATGCGATATCCTCGCGAGCACATTAACGACTGACTTTCTGTTCTCTCGCTACTGTGCGATCGAGACTTTCCCGCTGACGAATAATTGATACCCTTTTTCTCTCTTGCTCGAGGGCATTTGAGACCAAGCCGTAGTTTTGCCCATAGGTTCCCGTACCCTTGAAACCAGTTGATTTTCTCACTGCTGTGTGAGAATACCTTGTTTAGCCGTAGTTAGCCTGAACTACGCAAGGCTCTGATCTTCCATGCAGTGTGGAAGTACGTAGGCACAAGACGCGATGTCTTGGCGAGCCAATTTTCCCTGTAGTCCCGAACTACGTTGACTCTGAATTTCTCTCTTGAGAATACGTAGGAATAGAGCGCGATGCTCTACCGAGTCAATTCCCTTCCTTTTAGATTTAGCAGCCGTAGATAGATTGTTTTGCACCCTTTAGACAACCCAAGCAAGCGTGGATCCCGTCGAGTACGACGGACGTGAGGGGTGCTAATACCTTCCCCTTGCGTAACCGACTCCCGAACCCAGGTTTTGGTCGCGATGACCATACCTTTTCCCGTTTTTTGCGAGGTTTACTTCGAGTGTTTCCTTTCCCTCCGTTGGGATAAATAACGCACGGTGGCGACTCTTCTGTCAGCCGGCGCCGATTTTCGCAGTAGCGACACCTATCTCTTTGAAGGAGTAAACAGAAAGATATTTGTCATCTTCTGACTCCGAAAATGATGCTTCATCAGACGAAGAGTCTTGAAGGGAAAAATGTTTCTTCATCATTAGAGCTTTGTTCAAAATACAAAGATTCTAAGTCTCCTTCTAGAGGATGAAGAGAGTTAATCAATTTTGCAACTTTATGGGTATTATTACGACATTCTTTAGAGAAATGCCTATTTTTTCCACAAATAAAGCATCTCTGATTTTTCCCCTTTCCTCTGAAAGCCTTTCTTCTAAAAAACTTCATATTCTTTCTTTTCTTTCCCTTGAAGGTTCTAGAATATTTGGTGTATTTTTGATGATGATGTTTCTTTTTTGTTACACAGTTACACCTTTTGTCTTTACACTTAATCTCCAGGTAGAGCTTCTTACATGCTTAGATGAACTTTGACTTTTGTTCTATAACTTATGAAAATTGATGATGAAAACTAAAATGTTTTTCAAGTGCTTCTAATGTCATATGGAGAATTTGGCCAACACTCATGGTTTTAGTATCCTTTTGAGCTATAGCTAACATCCTATGAATTTCAGGCTAGAGTTCTTGTGGTAGAGAGGATACATAGGTATTCTTGTGACTAGGGTCATTGTATCCATTAAGGACATAATACCTCTGTGCCATCCTATGATAGTGTTTGTCGAGGTCCTTTGAATTGAGAGAACAACACTTCATCTCAAAGAATTCTTGTATGTTTTTCCTATCAAATATCTTCATATCACCGATAATTTTCGGTGAAGAACACCAAGAATATTAGTTGTAGTTTCTAGATGATGTAACTCATCTTAATTGAAAGCTCCAAGATTGTGATAGCATTCTTTCATCGTGTCTGTCATTCTACAGCAAAATTCTTCAATGATCTTATAGCTATTTGCACTTGTTTTCATCATTTGGGTGTCAAGCCAAACTCTAAATTTAAGTAGTCTCTTTCTCCAACGGCTAGGGGATACACCATTAAAGGTGAACCAAGGACCGCCATTTGGTTTATTCCTTTAAAGGACTAGAGTTTCTTCAGGGGATTCTTCTTTAAAAAAGGATTTGTCCTCTTTTATATTTGCCATGAAAAGTCTTTCTTGGGATATAGTCGTCTTCGAATTCTAATTTAGTTGAAAAAAATCTTGGTGTTTCATCAGAAGATGATTCTTGATCAGAGTTGTTGTCACCATCTAAGGAAGACTTATATCCCTTTTGTGTTGATGATTCAGAGTAATTTTTTCTGGGAGATTCATAATCTGTAGTGATTGCCATGGCTTGGAAACCTTTATCAGGAATTTCTTCTTCCTTTTAGATTTTTCAAGGAGGTGTTTCAGGGATATCTTGAGAGTGTGAGGATGAAGCGCTCAAGCAGACAGCTTTCCCCTTTGTCTTGGAGGTAAAGGTAGTGGTAGCTCTTGCAGATTTTGGTCTGTAAGATGTAGGTATGTATTTGATCTGGTATGATGGTGATGAAACATAGGTAGGGTAGAAAGGAGAAGGCCTTTCTGGTCATTTGAAATATGTAGGAAAAGCATGAGGGTCAAAGAAAGAGTTTTCAACAGGCTTGGGCTTTCTTTCATGAGAGCCTCTTAAGAAATCATCTAACATCTGCCGCAAATCCCAATCTAGCTGGTTTATCTTTCCCTTTGGTTAAATGTTTTACCAAAAGTTCTCTCTTCTAACATCTACCGCAAATCCCAATCTAGCTGGGATACTTGGGCTTTCAAGCTTTTGTAATGTTTCTACATTTTTTGGGATAAAACCTTGAGATCCTCATCTATTTCGTCTATTTTTTCCAGCAATTTTATGTACCTTTTTGTCAAGGTTTTGGAGAATTTCATTTTGAGAAATCCTGTTTTTAGATTGCCAATTAAGAACTTCTTTAGCTTGAGTTAAAGGTTTAAGTTTCCCATCGGACTGGACTTCACTAGGATGAATTAATGGTTTGGATGTTCTTCCTATGATTGGATCCATCTTTCTTTCCAAAGCAGGAAATTATCGGACGGACGTACTCCGAAGTTGTGGTTGAATACATAAAGCAAGGAGTTGGCTGAACAACAGCTAGAGGATGTAACCGTTTACAATGGTCTGTTGGTGAACATTTAATAAGAGTTGGATCATCAGGTGGTAACAACCCTTCTTTCCTGAGAATTTTGAGTCTTTCCTCATAGATACCGAGGAATTTCTTTTTACCATGGATTCCTACCCATGCCCATAGTCTGGATCAGATCTCCTTTGAGGAGGTGGATAGGGTTACACCTTCCCTTTTTATTTGTTTTGGGAAGAATGATATCTCGGTCAATATCATTGGCGTGCATCCAGCAATCACAATCTGGGTTACATCTTGTTGAATCAACATCCCAAATGAAGTGGCCATCTATTTTATTAGTGTGTGTCAATTTTCCCTCTGTTGTAACAGCATAGACAAGACACCTATCTTCTTTGAGAACTGGTTGGGTCATCATTGTCTGGAAGACCAGAGATATTAAGCCCGAATCTTCGTCTGGCTTCTTGAAAATCATCTTGACTGTCTTGTCAATGGATCTCCTGAAAGTAGCCTCTTGAGATTGGATAGGTTTTTTGTCAACATGGAGTCTCTCGTAGTTGGTTATCCATTCAAGGGGAATTAACTGAGTTAATTCTTCTCTTGTGATCCTTCTCGAAATCTGAATTATGGAAGGTATGTCTTATTCTCTGTTGGTGACAATCAATAGTGAATCAGAAGAGCACCCTGAGAAAGGAAGATCTATCGAGTGATTCTGTAAGCGGCATATTATTTGGTGATGAAGGGTAGCTGACATGACTTCTGGCACTTGGTCAGATCCGGTGACCTGTAGTTTCATTCTTGTGGATAAAGTATTATCATTAAGACTTCCATTATAATTTAGGAAGATGGTGAGGACAACACTTCCTGCATGAAGTGTAGTTAGAACAGTTCATATCACAACATTTTCATAGTGGAGGTAACTGGAGTCCAATAGAGCTATTTTGCAAAAGAGGGGTTGGTTCTTCCTTCCATGAAGAGAGAGGAAGAGTTTGACAACCCCAAAGTGTAAGGTTGTATATCCTTCAGTCTTCCAGTGGTTTATGAGATACTGGGGAATCTCCAGATCTACGTACTGCTCCTGGTTTGTAGCTTTTAGGCTGCATTGGTCTCGTCTAAATGACTGAACGTATTCTTTCATATGAAGGTGATTTGTAGAGATAAGATTTCGGATGGATCTGGTAACACTTCTTTGTCTTTTGAAGATGTTGTACGGACTTAATATAAGGGGTATTGTTTCGGAAATTTGAACCTCTTCTGAAACATGAGAGTACTCTATAAGGTTTTCTATTTTATGAGAATTAGTTTTTTTTTACAGAGTTTAGGAAGTGATAAAGAAGAAGTAGTAGTAATAGGTTGAGTGTTTGGTTCAGGTGTTTCCATGTTTAAGTGATTTTCTCCCCTTACTCACTATCTTTATTATATTCATACCATATGCACCCCTTTTTTTATGTACAAGCTCTGATACCACACTATTTAGGAGCCTCACATATCATAAATTTTGTCCTATTTTGAATAGTAATATTTTTCTCATATTTAGATCATTGACAAACATTTATTCAACCATTATTTCAATTGTATACATAAATTTCAATAAGTAGCGTATATTTTTGTCGTAATTACACCAACGACATGAATTTATTCAAATATTATATTAATTGCATAAATTTTAATAAATGAGACAAATTTTAATTGTATTAATTTTATTAAGTGACTCATATTTTTATTGTATTTGTTTCGATATTATTCCTAAATATCTTTAATGATGTCTTATTTTTGAAATTTTTGTTTTCTAATATTTTTGTAATAGGGTTCATTCTCCTTTTTTTAATCACATTTCATTCCCCTTTAATATCGCAACATAGTTATTTTTAAAATTTAACTCATTTATAGTATTTGACTCATTTTATTTAATACTTAATAAAATGTATTCAATGAGATTTATGCAATGCACATTAAAAATAAAAAGTTATTTAATGTTATAACAAAAATTATTAATTTTAGTATTTTTTACTAATAAAGAAAGTATTTTGAAATAAAGATAACAATTTAAAATATGTACTCTACTATTTATAAGCATCACTTAACTATTTTTACATATTTTAAAAAAGTATGTTCAGTAAATTTATTATATTTATTTTATTTATTGAGATTTTAAAATATAATAGTTTAATAAGATGTATATATTAAAATTTTAAAATTTTCAAATAAATTAATAGTTTCGATAAGCGATTTTATTATTACACATCTGTTAGAAGGTAATGTTAGAACAATTTTATTTATACTACACTACTGATAAAAATAGTGAAACTCTATTTTAAAAGCATCAAACAACAAGTTTGTAAAACTGATCACAACCTCCATCTCAATCATGTCATTAGTCAATTTCATTTGTAAAATAAAGACCTATCACTCAAAAAATTAGTAACATATCAAATCAATTTAGATATGTCATCATGAAAACAATTACGCTTATTCTCATAGATCTTCTCTTCCTTTGCAAGTTTTTTCTTGTTCCCTATTAAATTGGAACATTTTAATTAAAATGATTTTTTTTCAATTAGTTAACCAACGACAAATCAAAATAAATATTACATGTATATTATAACATAAACACGTTTAAATAATTGAATCATTAATTAGAGTTTATTTTATTCTAATAGTCATCAAACAGTGTTTAAATTTTGTAATTAGCAAAAAAAAAAGAAATAGTGTACAATTTCTTCTATTAAATATATAAAATATACACTTGTTGCACATGTTCGATAAAAATTAAAAAGGAATACAAGTAATATAAATACAAAATTATTTATCAAATCAGCTGATTTGATTAAAATCAATAGTAAAATACCAATTCATTATAATCTTTCTCAAAAGATAACACAATATAAATATATGGTAAAAATTAAACTTATATGATGCATTTAAATGTTTTAATTGTGTTGTAAGGCAAAACTTTCTTATATATTAATTCTTTTTTAAAAATGAGATTTTTGAAAATTGCCTATTGAAAATTATTAGCTATAAAAATATTTAATAGTGAAAAGCAAATGAAAATTTTCAATTCAATTAATTATAATATTCAAAATTAATAATATAAGATCAAATCATTAAATCAAAAATATTTTGATTTTTATTAATAATCCTAGGCATAATCCAATCTACTTCTGCTCTCAGAATGGTCTAATCGTCTAAATCCAACCACTTTGAGGGATAATTTATCTTTTTGCCCCTCCAACAAGGGAGGCTGACCAGTTTACGCTTAGTCACAACACTTCTCCTCGTCAGTCTCTGCCCGTCACACACGATTCCACCATCCAGAAACAGCCAAGACGCATGTACCCGTAACTACGCCATTGCCCGTAGCAACGACTAGTTATGGGCACGTCTGTCCGTTACAACGACTAGTTTTGACAATTACCTATTCTTTGGGAAACGATTATCTCGCCCTGAAAATAGAGACCAATGGCCAAACGCTGAGGGCACTATAAAAACCCTCTCATTCGAGAGGGCCGGGTATCTAATATTCACCTTGATATACTCATATTTTATACTTGCTCTCTCTCTCTCTCTCTCTCTCTCTCTCTCTCTCTCTCTCTCTCTCTCTCTCTCTCTCTCTCTCTCTCGCTCGATTCTTACTTTAACATCAGAGTGCCTTGCAGGTACACCCCCTCCCCCTCTTTCGCACCCAACATCACAGACGATTGTCTTTGACCCACATCAGGTTCTGATCAACCGGTAAGATCAGTGGCGTCATCTGTGAGAAACTTGTTATCCTCATCTTTCCTCTTTTCGTAGACACAAGACCAAAACAATTCTTCAAAATCTCGATCATGGCCAGTCGTGACAACACTTTTGATGCTCACAACTCTACTTTCCTCCCTACCAGCAAGACTGACGTTGACGGAGCTAACACTTCTCGTGGCAGGGACGTCCTCCGACAAAGAGATGGAGCCACAACTTCTCTATCCACTGTTCGCGCAAATCACAGCGAAGTCTCGCTCGTCCCACAACACCTGCTAGCCCCAGTTTCTCCTAGCGCCAACCTGGCCATGACTGCCCTCCTCGAGGTTCTCAACAAGACCAACCTTCTAATACTCAACCAAAATGCGAGGATTGGAGCATTAGAAGAGTCCAGTCGTCAAAGATCCTTGTCGCCGAGGAAGAAGCGTCAAAGACCACTAAGTCCTCCTCCCTAGTGCGAGAGGAACCGTCAGACACCTCCAGAGCCAGAGACCCTGACCATCCGCAACCGCGGCCACATCTTTCCTCGAAACCAGCATTCCTCACAACCCAAGAGGACCAGAAGAGGCCACCATGCAGAATCCCAACGTTCGCCTCCGCCCAGATCCACGGGCCGAGCACGAACCCCGTCTCTCTGACGAGACCGCCATCCTACATACAGACGAGACGCCGCTCCCCGTCTTGGACCAGCAGCAACAGTGACGACGGAGCCTCGCGGCCCACTGTCCCAAGAGATTATGGCCATGCGCCCGCCGAAGGAACTAGAGAAACCCCCCACTATGGGGACATATGACAAACCCCGAAGAGCACATCGAAAATATCGATGCGCTGCTCGACTATCGCGGCGTTCAGGGCGCTATCAAATGCAGGTTATTCCTGACCACACTCGGGAAAAAGGCGATGACTTGGTACAAGGACTCCCTAACGATTCCATCACCTCATGGAGACAACTAGGAAGATTGTTTTCCAGACACTTCACATCCTCTCGCCACCACCCAAAGACCGAAGCATCCCTTGAGGCCATCATTCAAGGGAGGGATGAACCCCTGTGAGCCTACATCGAAAGGTTCAATACGGAGGTCGTCCAAGTTTCTACAACCGATGACATGAAAAAGTTTCTGCTCGAACACGAGCTCTGTCCCCGCACCGAGTTCGCTAAAGCCGTGGGCATCCGGCCCCCCAACAACTTTGGATGCTTTCCTCCTCAAAGTACAAGTGTACATTCAGTACGAAGAGAAGGAGGCCGTCAACTCTGCCTGTGATTATAGGCACAGGGAGAATGGCCGAACTTCCAGGTCTGAAGAGCCCTCGACATCCCGTCGGGGAGATAAAAGACTAGAAGACCGTCCCCGAAAGCCCAGGGACAACAATGGGCCCTCCGGCCGGTTCTACTAATACACCCCCTGATAGTTTCAAGGGAGAAGATTCTTTCTGAATGCGCTAACTCTGAGTTCTGGCAGGCAGGAGTCCAGTTCTCAAAGCAGATATCGTCCAAACCCAACACTGACAAGTCGAAATATTATCGGTTCCGCAAGAGCCACGACCATATGACTGACGTCTGCATCCACCTGAAGTATGCCATAGAGATACTCATTAGGGATGAACATCTAAAGCGGTTCGCCAAACGAAAAGGCGCTCCTCGGCCAGACGCCCAAGAATCCCAGAAGGTTGAGG